TACTAATTATTTTCAGATTTTATTTTAATCTACATGACTTGATGAGTGCCTTTAAAATGATTTGGTTGAATAATAGATAAATTTGCTAAATGTAATTAGTTTATAATTAAAGATTTATTCTAAATAAGTCTCGAGTTCTGTTTTAAACTGATATTTCCTCTGAAGTTACACAATCTCATGGGAATCTGTGCAGAAAATGCTGCCTGGCTGCATGTTTTGGTGCATTTATGAGTTTTCCTTAAATAATTATGTGTTTACAAAGAGAAATAGTTTTRCTGCATCGTTTTATAACAGAGAAAATTAAAGAATCAATAACCCTGATGWTGTTATTTCTGCGTCGCCCACACCTGGATGCAGTAAAACCTCATCCTCAGCTTTAATAAATTTAATTTGTGTCGTCTTCAGGTACCTGAGTGACAACCTTTCACAGCATCTCGTTGTTGCCGGGGGAACGACAGGGTGGTGGGTGCACCCCTGATGCTGCTGCATTTATGCACAAAAGAAGCAAAAGCATCCTGCTTGTTCCTGAGGAACATTTTCACTGAACTGTCATTATTTCTCTCTGCATGTCTCAACAGCATGTTAATGCAACTGGTAGGGAAGTTAAAGTCATTTTTACTCTTTTTTTTTTTACTCTCAAGTCTGCAGGAATCTTTGAAATTAGCATTTCATAGTTTTTGTTGAATATTAGTGTGGAAAAAATAAAACTTTTTAGTACATGTGTGTAAAACGGACCTCTGTGCATGAAAGGAACATAATGTATTAGTGGTTGTATAACTAATAATGATAAAGAACATGCCTCAAAACGTGCATTCATATTGATTTTGGCATTTTAATTCATAATTTAGTACCTTTTTTATCCTGTAAGGGTAGTATGGTTATCTATGAGATGTAAACAACCCAGCTGCAAGTGAGGTAGCATTTTCTGTCAGGAAATTTGTGAAAAAGTGTAAAAACAACACATAATTGTATGGGAATTGTTTCAGCCACCGTTTCCTCTTGGCTATCARCAGTGATTATTCTTCGTCTTTTCCTACCGGAAGAAACGTAAGGTCACTGTGCCTATTATCGGACAGTCTTTGTGATGATGATTTTCGGACCGAAACAAAAAATTACCTGAAAAATGCTGAAATTCCGTCGTTTCAAAGCCGAAACCTCCGGAGCTGCCGGGGCCGGATGTCCTCCTCGGCTTTATTCTCCCAAACACACACGATGGTCCAGAATCTCCGACACACACATAAAAAAAAGAAAGAAAAAGGAAGAAGTATCCGCCGAAACACCCGGAGATATGAGTGCGTGGGACCGAGATGCTCGAGACCGAACCCCCGACTAAAAAATAAAAAATAATAATAATATCGTCGGTTCGGACGTGAAGGCAGTTTAAACAGGCAGGAGGAGGACCTTCACGTCGACAGACACGGGAGTGGTGCAACACCGTAAGCTAGCAGTCAAAATGAACTAACTTCCGTTTCCGTTTCAAAATAAAAGTCCGCTGGCAATGACGGGTTTTCAAGTTTCCGGTATCAAAATAAAAGCACAGTCACTGTTGAAAACTATTTGTTTCTTGAGTATTATGGTAATTTAAACACAAAACTGCTTTAAATGCATGATTATCTGGAAACAACTCCCTTACATTGTCACCATGTAATAAATAAATGTAAAAAATATAAGCATTATACCTGATTAACCAAAATAAATTTCTAATCCCCACTCATGATTATTGTTGAAGATTTCAGATTATTTGTTTTAAATTTCAGGTCTTCGTATGGGCTTCATGTTTACAATTGCAATCAAATTAGAAAAATAAATAAATAACCTAACTATTAGGTGAAATACATGATTGTGTTTTCAAATAGTTTATTTGTTGTTGTGTGTCGCCCTCTGCTGGTTCTAACTGGACCTTCAGCTCAAAATCAAAAGGTTAGGAATTAGGCAAGAACTCAAAACTAATACTGTAAAATAAAATAAGCTTATTAGTTGTTTTTTTAATCCGTAAAGCTTTATTTGTGCTATTTGTATTGTTTTAYTTGTAAAACAATATCTATTGTTATATTATATCTATGTTATGTTATATCTATTCAAAATATTGTTTTTGCTGGACAATTTCCACCACGTTACAAAATACATATTTATGAATTTTAAATTCATTTTAGGTTTGAAGACACAGTTATGAGTTTTAAAGTTAAAAATCCTAATTGTGGGGTTTAAATCCCTAATTTTAAATTTCAAAATCTTTATAAGTTTCAGTCACTATTGAGTTTTGGAATGATAATGGTGGTTT